AAATTAAGTGTAATAAATTTAAATCTTATCATAATATAACATAATATAATGCTACAAATCAATTGCATTAAACCTTTCCTCTACAACCCATCCTTTTTTCATTATTCTCCTTCTCTTGCTGAGGCTTTTCAGTCTTTTATTATAATGTCTTAATCTATCAATCAATAAGATTTGTTTTTGTCGATTTAAAAGTTTGGTGTTGTATTCTAAATATTATGAATATAATTTCATCAAGCAACATATATCCAAGATTTACACGCCTAATCACATGTGCTTAATTGTCATATTCAAAAATAAAGTTACTCATACGCCATGCTGTGTTGAATATGCGTACATCACAGCACCGATCACTCATGTGAAATATAACATAATTCAAATAATATTATAAGAATATAAGTAAACGCTTTTCTGCTTATTGAATTGTAACAAATGATTAAATAAAAAGTAATTATAAATGAATAATACGGGAAGAGTAATGTAATTCTAATTATATTTCTTCCCTTAAATAAAGCAATGTTATGGATACAAATTAATTACTAGAATGTGCGCATTCGATAAAAACAGAAATCACTTAATTCCACTTGAATTAAATTTATACTGGGAATTCTGATTTATTTTTTTTCTGTATTCAAGTTACAAATAAGCTGACATATACGCTTACATATATATAAGCTCATATATGCAAAATAAAGTGTATAATGTCGTTGAATTTTATTTTCATGTTCTACTAACACAGCTATCATTTTAATAGTATTGTTGTCATTGTACGAGTAGTTCATGTCAATCTGGAACACAAAAATCCCATTTACAAAATTAATCATTTAACGTTTTTATGTGTATTGAATTTTCTTTCTGTGCTTTACTGGAGAAATTAAATGTTTATAAACATTTGACACAATGTTTATAAACATTAAGTATAAATATGTTTATAAACATTTTCATGAACATCTTTTTACATATTTAAGTATATCTTGTATATATTGTGTATATATTAATATGCTTAACTTACCCCTTGCATATCTCCGTAATATTTGGCATCGATATGCTATATCCTTGTTGCTTGGAAAATTTAAACGTCTCCAACTTTGTTGTTGTTTTAACTGTTTTTGGCGTTAGTGTTGATAAGGTGTCTACATTTGAGGCGTTAGTGTTGCTTTTGAGTTTATCGTCAATAAACTTTGCTTGTTCGAGGAAGTCTCTGAAAAGTTGTGAAAATGGTTGTAGTAATGGAAGGAAAATTTTAGCATGTTTACAATATGTTAGATTTAATGGCTATAAAATATAACTAAAATTTTCCTATTATTTATTAAATAAATTCAATATGCTCTTAACATTTTCTAAACTATTATCGTTCAATTTCAAGTATTGATTGCTTAAGAAATATTTTAAAGTTTTTTAGTAGATACTTAACTTTTACATATTTTAAGCTTGGAAAGCATGACATTTTTAGCTAAAAAAAATATTTGATTTAAAAAAAGTGTTGATAGTATCCATTTCTTTAATAGGGAATATTGAAACGAAGTCAATAAGCTTTGAACTTTCTTTAAATTTATTACTGAGCAATTTATAAGATATATTCAATCTTATATTATTTTTAAAAGTTTGTTTAAATTAATTTTATAAATACTGTCTATTTGGTAAGCAAACAAATACGAATGAGGCTTGAAAAAAAACTAAGTGTACTGTTAATGTTAGTCTAGTTAACATTAGATAAGAATTGCTTTTATCTGACTAAAATACTGTTATGGTTATTTTAGTTTATTTATTAGAATTTTGTACAAAGAAATCTAAATGAAGAAATCTGCCTCACAAGTAATTATGAGCCAGAAATTTTAAAAACAGGTACTGATAAAATAGGTAATAAACACTTTTAAATGTTGATTTGTTTATAATAAAAACTCTAATTAGTAGAATGCTTCCTTTAAAAAAAATACTTTTCACAAAACTAACCGCACGGGGCGGTACGCAGATCTTAAATCAGTCATTGAAGAATCACGATGCTTATGAAGAATATACAAATAAGTCAGTCAGACTCTGCAGAAACACCCCAGCTATCAAAGAGTAAAAGTGCCCAGATGCCAAAATGATCAATATCACTATATACGTCTAACAATTTTTTCACTAAAACACAGGTAAGGGTCAACCAAAAAATAACATCGTTATTGTTGCAAATTTATTTTTGTTTGTGTGTACTTGATTTTTGCATTTGCAGTTTTTCTCCTCCTTAACTCTTCAAAAGAAGTGCTACAACACAGCAACATTAAGATTTATAATTTATTTAGTAAACATAAGTGTAAATCTATATTACATTGTAAACGAAATGAATAAATCAGAATACAATAAGGCAAGAATAGGATTGCCGAATATAAATTCTCTTAAACTTAAGATTTTTTTAAAAAAATATACAAATATATGTGAAAGCTTTCAATCTTCAAAAGGGGTAAGAAAAACAAAAAAAACAAATTAAATATTTTAATATTTTTTAAAACACTGTGCAGCACTAAAATTTCCTTTTTTTTAAATATCTGGATCTTTGGCAATAAACTGTTAAAGATCTAAAATTGAGGTTTTAAAGGGTTAATAAAAAATTTTAAGCGATATGTATTTTGTGTTCTGAGTAAACTTGGTACTATTTAATAGATTAATATTTTTGTCTTAGATATCTTTTCGCAAATTCCTTAATTTTTTATCAGAAATAAGAAATTCTTAATAGATTCTTAATAGACAGATAAAAAGTCAGTTTTTAATAGAGAATGAAGGGAATTTTGGGAAGGTTATGTAAGGTAACATTGCTTAAATATTTATTTTTTGAAAGTTTAGTGAGAATCGAATCTATTTCTGCGAAACTGCGAAGAGTGAGAAAGTATATATTTCTTTAACTGGAAATGCTTAAGTGGAGTAAATAAACTTTCAACTTCCTTTAAAATTGTTATTGTCCAATTTGTGGAACTGATTGTTTTACAAATATTCCTATCCCGTCACTTTATCACCTATTTGTAACTCCAGAAATAAATAGTTTTATTTAATCCATTTAAACCCTAATTTTCGAAGTTTAAGCCGTTATTATCTACGAGATAATAACGGGTTGCAAGTTTGTGCTTAGCAGGGTTAACTTAACCTAAAACCGTCACAAAATCCAAAAACTGAAGAAATGATTTATTTTTATCGGGCCGTGCAATTATTAATGAAACGCAGTAGTATTGTATTAAACTTACAATAATAAATATTAACCTTTATTTACAAGAATTCTATTTCCAATACCTAAAATTGTTGTATTTCATTATTTCCTATTTTTAGTTTGTTATTGTTTATTACCTTTCTTTATCGTTGTAAAAATATCCTTCATCTCTTTTTATGTGCTTTCGTGTGTTATAGTCCCCATTCATTGCATAATTGAAATGGCCTTCACGATCACGTGTGATTGGCATTTCACAATTTCCTAAGAGTACCAGGGATGTCGCTGCCAAGGGTATTACACGTGGCCTGTCAGTTGTATCAGTAATGGCAGCACTTGTCTCCACACCATTAAGAGTATACGTATCATTTGCGCCATCTTTTGTCGCCAGACATCTACCATTGTCATTGTTATTTTGCTTAGATACTGTCGTTATTGCGTCCATATTTGTGGCAGACGCACCGCTACACAAAAGCGTCCATTGGGTTTTCTTGCGCTGCTGTTGACATGTTGACGAATTATTGTCACTTGTACTGGCAGCAATTAACGCGGAATTGTCCAATTTAATGACGTTCACATTAACACTGACAGTTGAGACATTAGTGCCACCATCTTGTTTATAGTCTTTAAGGTCATTCAAATGTGTGCTATGATTACGACGCAGGGATGTGCCATTATGTACAGTAGTTTTATTATCAGTGGAACATATGTGTGGACATTTTGTTTGTAATGAATTTTGTCGTTTGATATTCGTTGTTGTGATGTTGTTGTTGTAGCAAATTATTTTGTTATCAATGTTTTTGGTTTTGTTGTTTGTGTTTTCAATTATAGTTGGTATTATGGATTTATCGAGTGGACTGCAGGCACCACAATGTGGCCAAAATGAGCAAGTGCCAGATTTTTGTTCCTTTGATTTCATGGTTTTTGCTGTTTCATTGGGTGTAATGGCACCAGCAACAGTTGCTGCTGTAGTTGTAGAAGTTTGTTTATGTATACTGTAAACACAAGAAACGTATGAAATATAAAACCAAAAAAATTTTTCAACACTGGTGTGTTGAATTAACAAAGTGGTTTTTAGTGGTAGTTTTGGTGAAGTTGAATTTATGTGTATATATTCAACGCAGTTTTTTTTTTGTGATAAAGCAGCGGTGAAAAATTAATATAGTAGCACGTAAATTTTTTTATTAGTTTAAGTGTTTTTAGGTTCAGTGACACAAAATACACAAAAAGGAAAAGGATATCTAAAAATATTAGTTCAAAAATAGTTAGAAGCACTTAATGCATGACAAATTTTGGTTTATGTGGTGAAGTTGGATTTAAAGGTTTCACATTGCATTTAGTTTAAAATTTTTTTTCATTTTTGTTAATATTTAGTGTGGTGAGGTTATCTTTTATACACTTATGTTAATGAGTATGCATTTAATTTTAATTTTAATTTATTTTTTAAAATTATTTTAGTATGGCAACTACGTGTACTTAACAAACATTAAATTATTTATGCTTAAATTAACAATTATATTTTGTTTTTGTTTTATTTGGTTTTTTTTTCTTTCGTACATACTATTAATATTTTAGCATTAGTACAGGTGAGTTGGTGAAGTTGGATATTAAAGCAGTCTTTTAGCAACACTGTGTTAAATAACTATTTGGGGTGAGTTTGTTAAAGACAGTTCAGTTTTTGAATTAATAAAATTTGCAATGTTCTTTGAACATTTTTCAATAAAGTCATTAATACTTATTATTAAAGTTTATGCACAATTATTTTTTAAAGATTATTAATTTAATATTTTTTATATTGTTTTTAAATATTGCTCTAAGATGGAAGTATCTTGCACTACTTGCAGTGATTTTATTTGTTAGTTGGGCATGTGCTGTAGTTGCAGGATAAAGATTTAGTGCAGTTCTTGGTGGTTAGTTAGTGCCAACATTCAAAATTAGTAACACTACTTCAACGCTTGCAGCTTAGCGTTAAATGCATAATTTAGTACCTTCCGCGATTATTGCTTCTTGACTCTCTGTGTTGTTTTTGCGGTTGTCGATATACATAATCTGGTCTATAGTCATTCATTGTATCTGCTGGTATACTATCACGTGAACTCTGTAAACGTTCCAGTGAATACTGCGATTCACTTGGACTCTGGTTGTGACTAAGCGATCTTGATTGCGTTATTTGTGCTGTGGTTGTTGGATGTTCATAAATACGCGTATCATTGCTCATAAAATTAAGTTCACTATTACCACCGGAATTGATAGTTTCGCGATTTCTTATCACAGGCTGTGGCAAATCATAATCACCACTATCACCGCGTCGAAAATCCATTATTGGTGAACGATCCAATGATTTTCTAAGCATATCATACGTAAGCTCATGATCACATAAACGTGTACCATAGTTTTGTGGACTCGTTGACTGTCTTGGCAGATTTAAGTTATTGCATGATGAACCAGATGATTGTGGTGAGCGTGTAGTGCGTTCAATACTACCGCTACCGCCACTACCCACTGGTGATGATCTTCTTAAGCGTCCGGTGCTGTTGCTACCAGCAGTGCCATCAGTCGCTTTCAAATAACGCATACTACCCGCACTTAAATTATTATTACTATTTATTGGTTCCCTGTAATCATCATCGAACGAACGACTCTTGTCGAAATCCAAACGCATAGGCACATTCTGATTGTTGCTAATATTTCCAGTACTAGGATGGCTTTTCGGCGTTGCTGTATTGTAGTTACAATAATCAAAATCGAATGAACGACTTTTGTCGACTTCATTGCTGCGCAAACGTGAACCGCTGCTATTGCTATTATTTACAAGTATTGGCTGTGATTTGACAGTTGTACGTATTGTCGGCGGAAAATTGCTATGTCCGCCGCCGCTGCTATTAATATTGGCACGAAGATTTGCTTGCTGATAGACAGCCGCCGGATTGGGGGCTGTAAGTGATTGTCCCACGCACACGATCATTTTATGCGAACGATTTGGCGAACGTTCGCTGAGTTGGAGAGATCTACAAATAAAGTAATGATATTAATTCATATTTCAAAATAAAACTCAATTTTTTAAATTAAATTTAATGAAAAAAAATCAAAAATATTACGCGGATTTTATTAAAAACAAAATATCACTTCGAATCCCTCTATTAGGTATATAATAATGTATGTTTTTTTTTTTGGATAAAAAATCTCATATTAACATATTTATTTACTTTAGTTTATTTTTCATTAATTATATGAATAACTCTCGGTCTGTATAAAATAAGTTTGTTTATATACAGTAGAATTTACTTATTTTCTCTTTTAATCAACTAAAGAACTTTGAGAATGTTTGTATGGAATATAAACCACTAGTATTCAAATATATATCAAAAAGACATTTTAAATATAAATTGTTAGTTTCTTATATATTCTTTAATTAGTACAAAATATCAAAAAAAAAAAATGCTACAATATAGCTTCATTATGCTTTAAGTTTTTTATACTGCTTTAAGACAGAAAGTACTATGTAGCTCATAAGAAAATTGGTTCTGTTTTATGAAAATAAGTACAATAATTATAAACGTTAGCTAATTAGTACTGATATCAGTTCATGTGAATCAATTATTCGAAATAATGTTCTTATATTTAAAAGCCTTACTACAACTAGACACAATATTTAAAGATTAGGATCATATCTTACCTTGTGAATTTAACACGATTCTAATACAGAATAAGGGATTAGTCATATGATGATTCGATTTAATTTAATTCAGTTACTGTCCCTCAACTATGCTTTTACTTTTCTTTTGTTAATTAATTACCCTATTTTTTAAACCGCTTTTTTTACTATTTAACTATTAATTATTTAGTATACATATTTAATTTTTTACATAATTTACTTAAATATTATTATTAAAACTAATAAAATTAATTTTTATTTTTTACCTTGAACGCCTAATTCTATGCTCTTCGGTTTGCTTTGCATTTCTTCCAAGTGAACGCCGGTGTTGCGATCCTGTACTACCAACTAAGCCACCAGTCAAATGTGTGGGATGTGTCACATTTTCATGTGCTTCTCTACCACTATAACTCGAACTCGACGAACTACGCGATATATTCACAGTCTTATCCTCAAGTCTTGGAGGTTTACGTTCCAAAGTATTACTGCGTGAACTGGAATTTTGACGCGAACCCATTAAGGAAACCTGTGAACCTTTCTTACGACGGTCTTCAGGTGTCAATGAACGTGATTCAGGTGTAAGCGAACGCTGTTTTCTCAAACTACTCGATGAACTATGCGATTCATTTCGATCTGGAGTAAGGGAACGCTGCCGCTGTGTTTTAAATGGAGAAGTTGCTTGATAATAATTCGTGGTAAGAAATTCACTTGAACCTTCATTTTCTTCATTATCCAATTCATCATTCGAAAGGTCTGTAATTAACATAGAGTATTGGGAGGGAATTTTATTAATAAATTTAATTAAAACAGTTAATTAAGTGAGTTATGTTAAAAGCGTTTTTTATTTTAAATTTTTTTATGATTTATTAACAATTTTTTTTTCTTGAGCAAATCCACTTTGTTCGTCTTAATCCCTATTGTGGGTAGTCAAAATTTAATTTTCATTAAAATGGCATTAAATAATCCTTACCAAATTTAATTATAAATTGCGAGAACAAGTGCTTATGGTATTGTTTTCGATATAGAAATTGCAGGTAAAAATATGAGATAAATTTGCGAAATTGATTGTATACGGGATTATAATAAATGACAAACAATTTCAAGCGGAAAGCCAAGCAAGACATTTTACGGTTTTGCACCAGTGCAGTAGATGAACTAATTTTGCAAAGGTTTCAGTGGAAATCTTGATTCACTAAATATTATAAATTTTCGCCTTTATCGTTTCATACTACTGTACTCTGTTTCAAGTTTCTAGTCTCCACCCATTTAAACCAGATACTTTTACTTGTAACGATTATTATTATCGGCTTATGTTCCGAAACTGATGCAAACTGCTTTTAATGGATTCGTGGGTTCTTTGGTTATGTTTCGTGATTTCGAAACCAAGAAAAGCATTTCATATTGATAACCGCCAACCATGTGAGCTTGTAGGTAAATGACAAAAGTTTTATCATTTTTGTTAAAGCAATTTGTTGTTGTGGTTTAGAAGTTGGAGGTTTTGCCTTGTACTTTGCCCATATTGACTCAAAGATTTGATAATTTTCTAAACTTCTACTCATCGTCCTTCTTAGCAGGCATGTCAAGTTAAAACTCTTTCAAGTTCTTTCGTCTTATTAAATGGATTAATAATACTACTGGTGGTGTGCTGAAGTAAAGCTTTTTCTAACGAAATGGGGATATAATTTTATTTATGCTAAAGAAAACGTTAATCATTGTTTACATACAGAAAGCCAATAGAGTGATGAGAGTTGTAAAAGTTTGTCTCCAATCATTTAAATAAATTAAAAGTTCTTAACTATTTAATTGAATTTATATTTAAAAATCATGCTTAACCAATTTACCATCTTTAACTATTAAATATTTTTTATAAAGAAATATTTGAGTTTCATTTTCATATTGTAATAATTTCAAGCATATTGATTCCATAAGTTACTTTCAAGGATTAATAAAGGAAATTTGTTTGTTGTCATGGTCCCCTCACATGTCAATTTCAATTTTTATTATCTCGATAAAAGCTATAACAATTTTTATTCTTACTATTCTCATATCCTTATTGTTGACAGTTTGGCCTTCGTTTCCTTTTGATACTTAAAAAATGACAATCCATTGGAAGCGCATTGCCACATGTCCTTAACCACAAAACAAACTGCTACAGAAATGTAATGTAATGAGTTTCTTTATGAAATGTTCGCAAATCATCGGTTTTCATTAAAATATTTCATTGTGAAGTGGAGGTTTTTTATTCTCATGTGCTTCACAGTACCTACTTTAACAGATTACTATTGACGAAAGTATAGATTTCAAAGATCAAAATTTATTAGGACAAGATTACGAAGATAAAGCTAAAAAACATTTATGTGGTGAGTAGAAAAAAAGGCTACAAACAATCACTAAATTCTTACAATGCATTAATTTATGGTTTTCGAAAAAAATTATGGTTACTATTGTTATCTATCCCGCGAGGAGATAAAAAATAGATGTTTCTGGTTTGAAGAGGACTTTGCCATTCCATTCTCGCAAAACATATACAGCAACTATATAAACACACTTCAAAGTGTGCTGTATTTTCTTTATCGGAAAGTCCGTAGTATTACATTGTATGTATTATACTGAAGTTTTTTAATTACTCTTTAGCATGTTAATGCCTAAGGGATTGATTGTGGAGATTATAATCATAGTCCTCATAAAAGAATCCGAATAGGCTCCTCAAGGAGACTAAATAAAACTCTAGGGTTTTTTTTTAATTCTGGAAACTTTGAGGTTACAAAGAATTTGATTGTTCTAATTGAGATTGACATAAGATGGACTGTGTCCAATCAATCTATTTCTGATTGGAATCTGTTAGAAATTTCAACCTAACGGATCTAATATCATAATTTCGTATGCTCAGCATCAACACGAAGCATGAGAGCTATTGTAGCCATGCTTCAAAAATGTAATATTCTGAATGGAATTCTGTGCTATATTTGCCGTAATGTAGAAAGAATAGAAACTCTTGATTACTTAATTACTTCCTATACCTATGTGAGAGGCTGCAAACGAAGCGATTTTAACGCTCTTTAAGATATTTTTAAGATAATTTTTTCGCTTGGCGGATATAACAGGTGTTGAAACTTTAATAGTTTTTAAAGTTATTTTTTATAATTTCAAAAATTAAAAACGGGATCTATGATTTCACTATTTATGTTTTATTCAAAATTAATTTGTTAAGTTCAATTGCCACTTGCGCACTTCACCGAACCGACCGTCTTCGTCTGCCAGTAAAATAAAAAGAAAGAAACCCAAAGGCAAAAGTGCATTGCACAACCGTATTAAGAAGTAAAGGCAAGCGTTGCCATATAGTTAATTTGAGATGAGCTTTTTATCGGTTGAAGTGCGCAAGTGGTGAATAGAGATTAGTATTTAACATTAATTCAAATGAAGTTAAAATAAATAAATTAAATAAAATAAATATGTTTGTAAATGTCTTAACACCGGCCACGTTGAAGCACCATAGGTGTTCAAGTTGGAAGCAACCCCAATTTGTGAATTGGCCTTCTTATGACTCCATTCTTTGTTCTAACGTCTACCACTCGTACCCTGCCGTCGCTCCCGACTACCGTACCTTGGACCCTGCCGATCAACCATTGGTGAGGGGGAAGATTGTCTTCGTGGACAACGACGAGACGGCCGACTGCTACGTTCGGCTGTTCCAAGATCCATTTGGTTTTTGTTTGCAAGTTGAGGATATAGTCCTTGGACCAGGCCCGCCAGAATCTGCGTTTGAGCTCGCATAGCAGCCGCCATCTCTGCGCATAATTCAGATTGCTGTTTTGCACGTCGAGCGTTGATTCTTGCGGCAGCGTGCGCAGAGAATCCCCTATTAGTAGATGTGCTGGTGTTAGTGCTTGACCGTCGTTTGGATCTTGGCTGAGAGGTTCGATTGGTCTTGAATTGAGAACGGCTTCCACCTGAATTACCAATGTTTGCAGTTCCTCGTTGGTTAGCATTGCGCTGCCCGCTGTTCGAAGTAATAGATGTTTCGCGGACTTTACGGCGGCTTCCCACAATCCTCCGAAATGTGGTGCGCGAGGCGGTATGAAGACAAACTCGATTCCCTCTTGTGCAGCATATGACACCAGCTGGTCTTTCTGTACTTTGAACGTTTGTTGCAGTTCTTTCAGCTCTCGGCAGGCTCCCACGAAATTTGTTGCGTTGTCGCAGTAAATTCGATCTGGCAATCCTCTCCGTCCCACGAACCTTTTAAGACAAAGAATAAAACAATTAGAAGATAAATTAGAGACTAGTTCAAAATGTACAGCCTTAGACGTGAAGCAAACGAAAACGGCAATGTATGTTTTAACTGGTGGTCGACCACGTATTTTTAATGTTGTATACATGGGACCACAAAAATCAACACCTGAAATCAAAAAAGGACGCGTTGCTGTGACTCGATCAGTTGGCAAATTTCCCATTATTTGAGTCAGAAGTTTCGGTTTATAGCGAAAGCAATGTGTGCAACTTCTTACAGTTTTACTGCAAGCTGCTTTCGCGTTAACAAGCCATATCTTTTGCCGCAAAATTGACCCTAACGCCTTGGGACCTGCATGACAATTATTTAAATGTAGATGCCTTAAGTAGATATTAATAAAATGGCAATTTTTTGGCATGAGGAGTGGAAACTTGGAATCATGGCTAATTGGGGCATTGAGCAACCGGCCTCCCACACGTAACAGTGTTACTTTATTGGGGCCACAATTTGTATCGTGCAGAAATGGAGTAAGTTTCTGCATGCCTGGTTTTAACAGCTGTTTCTTCATCAGTGCATATATCTCATCTTGAAATGCATTTTTTTGAACCTGTTCCACGACCTTTAAGAAAGCGCCATTTAATTCTTTGACACTTAGGATTAGTGATATCTCTTTTTGACATTTCCTAGCGCGATTTATGAATCGGAGTATATACGCAACAATTCGCATGAGCTTCATGTATGATGACTGAGTACCGACTAACTTCAAAATTGCGTTTGAGGGTTCTTCCGATACGATAAACACAGCTTTTGTTTTCCTTGTTTCCAGAGATTCTTGATCCGAAGTGATTATTGGCGCTATTTTAATTGGCCACTTGGCAACATCTTGCGACAGGTATTCAGGCCCAGTTTGCCAAATTGAACTGACTAGTTCAGTAACGTTACATCCTCTGGATACTATGTCAGCAGGATTGTGCTGTGACTGCACGTGTCGCCATGTTATATTAGTTGACCATTCTTGTATCTCTGAAACCCTGTTCGCCACGAATGTTGAAAGTGTTGACGGATGCGTTTTGATCCAATGTAGTGTGATTGTTGAATCGGTCCAAAAAACTACCTCGTCGATGTTGTGATGGAACATTACACGGATTCTATTCCACAATTTAGCAAGCAGATGTGCAGCGCATAACTCTAACCGAGGTAAAGATTTGGTTTTCAGAGGAGCAACTTTTGATTTAGCAGTAAGCAACTCACACTTGAAACCATTTGACGTTTCACATCTTACGTATAGACAGCAGCCATATGCTCGCACTGATGCATCAGCGAAACCATGAATTTGGCATTTAACATTAAAATGCAAATTAACATATCGCGGAATTGAAATTAAGTTTAACTGTTTCAAGTCATTCTTAAAGGCCTGCCAAGCAGTGTCAAGACGCATGGGTATGGATTCGTCCCAGTCAAGTTTCTGTAACCACAATTCTTGCAATAAAATTTTTGCTTTCACAACAATTGGGCATAATAA